GCGAGGCTGTTTGGCTTTGTCGGTGGCCAGCTTCTCCTCTGAGAGTTGTTGTTGGGTGTCCGAGATCTGTGGATCTGGCGGGTGCTCTGTTCATAGAAGAATGGGCGAAATTTTGGGATCCTGGTGGATCTTGAGTTTTGGTGGTTCACGAATCAATGGCCGTGGTCTTGTCAGTTCTCTCGTCGGGTAAGCTTGCCTTCTGTTGCTATGGGTTAGATGGAATCAATTTAGGTTGCTACTTTTAGGTTCGTTATGGTTTGTGAGGCTCTTTTCGATGGTGATGGCTATGTTCGTGGGTTTAAAATTGGATCTTTGTTCTACCTCTCCTTCGAGTCCTCTTGCTGGTTAGTGGTTGCGGTTTTCTCTTGGTTCGTTCTCGGTGTGAGCCATCTTGATGGGATTTTGTTGCTGAGTCACCTACTAGCCTATCTTTGAGTTTCTTTTGGAAGTTTTGGAGTTAGGTTCTAGTCGAAGCAGTGGAATCGTTCTCTAGTTCTTCTCTTGCGAGGACGTCGTCATTTTTAAGTCTGTAGGTGGCTGAATTTGGTTCGACGAGTGTCCGCGTGTAAGAATTGTTGATCTCTCGTGGTTTGTCTCCGGTCGATTTCAAGGTTTTTGCCTTGAACCTAGGGTTTCTTGCTTTCTCCGATTGGCTGGTGAGGAGTGTTGGTAGTTGTATTTGTGTCTTTGGTCGCGTTGGGTTCTTGCTTTCCTCCCTGTCGGTATGCTACTGGTTTGTCTTCGGTGTGAGGTCAATCCGGTCTTATTGGTGCTACCGGCGTTTACAGGTTCTTTAGGGAAGCATTGTGAGAGTCTCTCGTGCCTTTGTTCAATTATAGTACTTAGATTGCTTTCTCTCTTTGTCGTAGTTTTATTCTTTAGAATTTTGCCTTTACTTTTGGCTTGAATCAGTTTCCCTGTACTTTAGGGCTTTGTTTCCCTTGTTTGGGCTAATGTTTCTGGGGACATTCGTATAGTCCGCCGGCATATGTATTTCATCTTGTATCCTTCCTTGGTTTATCAATAAAATTCAGATGACAAAAAAAAAAAAAAAAAATTTTATCAGTTAAATATGAATGGTGCCCCATACAATTTTCTTTCTTAGATCTGCCACCGGTCACGCTCAAGTCAAATAGGGAAATGACTATACATGCAGAAACAGAATTAATGACTCAAAGTTTTAAGGGCCCAAAAAACGTGGGGCGCTATAGTGTTTGATTAGAACTTGATTCATATTTCGTATGTTTCAGACACAAAGAAATGTGGTCAATTAGTCAGAAGATTCCACACGTAGCCATATAATTATTGTCTTCTGGATACACCTAGAAGTACAAATTTCTCCACTTTAATTACCCCATTTCTATGTTTTCTGTGTTAATAAATAAATTTGTTTTTTCTCGTTTTAAAAAAACCTATTCTATATATTCACTATTTCTCTAGAGAAAATAAGAGAAAAAATGATAGAAGAAGAAAACGTGAATTTTTTTTTTAAAGAGCGTTCATTAGAACATTGTGTTGTTTTTTCAGTTTGTCTGTGTTTGCAAGTGATTGTACCTTTTCTTGATTGAAAATAGCCAAAAATATATTTTGCATTATCATTTTCTTACTATATATACTATATACATAATATTAATATATATTCTTTTGCATATAGTGTGATCCACCCCTAAAAAATATGCGCGAAGCTACCAATTTTTAAGTATTTATAAGGAAAAGGAAAGAGAAAGATCAATCGGTTAGTTATTTGTAACTTGCCTATATCATCACTTTACATTGCACTTTAATCTTCTTTATTTTTGGTAACACATAAATATTTTTGTTTTGTTGCATTTTATCTAGGCAGTACATGTTATATGTCACCGTAAGATAATTTTTTAATAAATTTACTAGACAGTAATGAAATTGTAGTAAATTATCTTTACTGCATGAAACTATATTATCATTTAAAAAAAATGTACTACATAATCATTTTTGGCAAACCTAATTCGTTTATGGGTAAAAAAAATTAGCAGTGAATAATAATACTATGAAAAAATGAGTACAATGTATTGGCAAATAGATTTGGTTGCTAGTTGATACGATTGGTATTTGTAGTTGTGGACGATTTATATGACTTAAGGAATACGTATTTGTATATATGGTAGAGAAGTGGAAGAAAGTACCCAAAATACAATTTGAAGATTGATGCATTGAACGTTTACACATCTCATACTTTCCTTTTCAAGTAAAGGCAATGGCAGGTTTGTGCTTTTTAGACTTTTATGTGACGTGGCAAAACGCGGGGCCTCTTTTATTCTTATTGTGTGTTATCTTTCGTGAATGTATTTGTTTTCCTTACTTTTGGACTTTTGGTTTCAACTAAATAATTGTTGTGTTCAATTTATTGAGCATACCGATTAATGGAATCATTAGATAATTTGTAGTAACAGTTACTAATGCGTATTGTTTAGTTATATACTCACAGTCATAAAGACTTCCTAAGATGATCCTTTAGGCTTAATACTTTCAACGTAATGAGAATTAATCTTTTTTTTTTTGCCAACCAATGAGAATGATCTTAACATACGTAAGCTGTTTTTTGTCAACTTCATTGCACATATTTTTTTTTTGAATGAAAACTTCATTGCACATATTATTTTTTGTCAACACACATATTTTGTTTTATTTCGTGGTCTCATCTCATCATTTTACTTTTTAACTGTATTATTAATAAAAATGAAAGTAGCCATCCATGAATGATAATATTGTGCCCACATGATGGTGGGCTAGTGGTTGGCGGGCCCAAGGTGGATGGGTGCAACTCCCTCCTCCCCATAGTTCGATTCCTTCCTCCTGCTGTTATCAACATTATTGTGGGAAGTCTGTCAGTTGGACTTTGGTCCAATTGGTTTACCTGGTAGTTAGAAATGCAGGCGGCCTGACTACCCCCTGACACTTAGTCGGAAGGCATTCTAAATTCGGGATAGGCAGAGTGGTAGCCATCTTCGACTTGATCAATCACAAATTTCCGAGGGTACATCTAAATGAATGATTGGCGTGGCGATAAGGCAAGGATTGTGAGACGACATCTAAACCCATAAGACATAAGACACATGGACCACATAAACTTTATAGTTATCATTTCAAATTGTTTTGAAATGATGAGCTGGCTGCATTGTTTCCCCAAGTTAGGCCCTGTTCTTCTGTGATCGCGCGACACCTTCGGCGACCAACAAAAGATCCTTTGTTTTTTAATTTCATTTTCATCTAGCGACAAAGCATCTTATGAAAAACAAGAAAAAGAGACGTTGGTGTTGGTTTACTCAGTCGCTGGAAAAATAAGTGATACCGGCGACAACATATACCATGAACAAAACTTGAGTGACATGGAAAGAGAAAAAAAAAACTAATAACTTCAGTATGATTTTGTGCCGCTGGAAGGTGTTGCGCGACGTCCAAAAGAACATGCCCTTAGTGTCGTCGAATTAATATATAAATGTGTATTATCGATAAGAGAAAACTAGCTTATTGGATCCAAAACACCTCAAACAAGAAACATTAATTTTCTTAACCTTATAGTTATTGCATTAACTTGGACCACCTTAAAACGGATTAGGAACACGGCATCGTCACTAAAATAGTTAATTATACACAAACAAAATTGTATAAATTAATGACAGCTTGGGCAAGTCACTTAGACAAATAGTTAGATTTCTACCCATTTGTAATTGTAACATAAAATGTTCAAAGACAGAAGATATCAAACTTTCCAGCAAACAAAAAATAACCCATAGAACGAAAGGTTATGTATGGGTTAAATCCATATGACTTAAATCTCGTTTTGGGTAAAATCATATGTTTCGGTGCTTGTTTGTGGAAGTATTCACGTGACATCTATTTTCAAATATCTTACTAAGAAAATATCAGACCTGCCTGGCAAAGTGGTGTGTACTGTATCATTCGATTGCTTCATCCTTTTCGTCCGTTATCTTAGCAACTTATCGGCTTTCTAAGTTCTCTTGAGTTTTGAGTTTAGCAGTTTCCGTATTCAAGAGTTTTTATAATTAATAAAGAGTTCAAGTCAACTGGTGATTATGTATCATTCTTGGATATAATACTAAATTACTAATGAGCTCCAATATGTTAAGAGATCTTTCGGTATCCTACTATAATTTTTTTTTTTTTTTGGTGAGACTGTAAAATTTTATTTAACATCAAATTTGTGTAGTTATTGTCATAGTAAAATACGTCTAGACCAAACTACATTTTTAATTCATGTATCATCAATTCAAATATTCGACTCGATTAGAAAGAAAAAGGAAAAAAACAAATTTTGGTATACATTTCTCTTTCATAAATTATATAATACCTAAATCTTCATTTTATATGATATTTACATTCTTAGCAAAAACAAAAAAAAATATATAATACGCGTTCCTACCAAAAAAAAATTATATAATACGCGTTTGCAGCTTCGCGTCTATTATCACAGAGAGAGAGCCCAATAAGTCGTAATGGGCCTAACACCTAAAGTATTCTCAATTTTGAATCATTAACCCATACTTAACCGAAGTCCTCAAATAGGCCCAGGCTAAATCACACTTACACATTTCTCCTAAAGTGTTTTTTGTTTTTGTTTTTGGTGTTCGCATTGTTTACTCAAAACATAATATCAAATCCAAACCAAAATGGACCAAACCGAAAGGAAGATTAATTGTTAGTGTGGTCATTTGACTCTCAAACCGAAGCAAGCCAATCCAAACGAGAACTAAATAAATCAAATTTAAGTAACGACAAACTAAATAAACAAAACAAAAAAAGAAACAAGTATTGGTCTTATTCTGCAAATTTCTCTTCAGTCGAAGCAGACCAAACTGAACTAAAACCAAACAATACTTGATGCTAACCGAGATTTAATCACTAATGAGAATAAAGATCATCTCTAGTGTAATTTTTTCTTTTTGAGATTTGAGAGGGAAAAAAAATTAAAGAAAGTAAAAAGAGATGTAGATGAAAGTCTAACCTTTAACTGGCTGGAATTTGTGTGTTTGAAGTTTGGAATAAGCATCAAGGAAACAACTTTTTTTTTCTTCTCAAAAGCACAAGTATTTTCTCTTTCCCGAAAAAAAAAGAAGAGAAAGTTAGCACACGGATTAGTAGCATCACACGTGAGAGAATAGAAAAAAAAAAAAAAACATCTTTTTATAAGTTGGTCAGTCACATGCCATAAAAAGCCAATCAATGAAAACATATTTCAAAAGTAATCAATGAAAACATATTTCAAAAGTAATTAAGAAAAGAAAAGAAACTTCATTCTTCAGGTTTCTTCACCTAAAAGGATTCGTCTTTCTTTTTGTGGGTTTTCTTCAACTTCCAAGCTCACATATATGTCATAAGCAGCTGCAGTACCTTGCTGTGTATTTTTAGGTTTCGTATAGCCAATGAAATGATTGTAAGTAAAATAATTTGAATTTTTTTCGTACCCAAGTCTCTAAAAAAGATTGCGGAAACAATAATATTCTGTAAAAGCATTAAAAGTTGTCCTGAATAGTAATACATTCTTGTGAATACATTTATTTTTGGTTAGCCCATATGACAATCACATGTTCTGACATTATACTACACTCCTATCCTCTCATTTATAGTTTTATACTATAATTTTGGTCTATAAAATTTAATTTGAAAGCATACAAATCCAGGAAAATTAAAGAGAGATTTAAAAGTACTTGAAGACTTTTCCTTTTTTCTTGCTAGAAAAGCATTTGACAACTTAGAAATTAGAATATATGTATTTAACTGTAACTTTTTAAATAAAAGTTTCTTTATCAAAGGAGGTATGCAACTTTGAGGTTGACAAAGTGTAGCTTCAAAATGAAGAAACTGATATCATATAGATAGAATAAAAGCAAAACCTAGCGCCTCCTTAAATACATTAAATATAGATAATAATTTGTAGTCAACTTCGTTATCGATTAGGAGTGATGACTTTGAATTTTCACTTTGTTTATTTCATTTGTCGACAGATAACCATTTATTTTTTGTTTCTAGAAACTAAATGCTTTAATCTGAGCACAAAAAAAAATAAAATGTGTATATAGGATGTACTTTATAAAAAAAATTGCATTACGTAAATTTGAATTTTTTTTTATTTTTTTTTCATCTTTTTTTTCATCCCGTAAATTTGAATTTGGATTGTGATACGATACTATTACAAATCATTAATTGACTATATATCTAAGTCTATGATTAAAAAAAAAAAAAAAAAAAACTATTTTTTACATTTCTTATTTTGATGAGATGCAAGAAAAGAAATATAAGAGATACTATTTTTAGATTTCTTGTATTGATGAGATACAAGAAATATAAGAGATAGCACAAATAACTTAGCATGCACACGAAAAAAAAAAAAGATGTTGAAGAGTATCAATTTTTTTACACTATCAACTTTTAATTAAATAAAAATGTTATTGTATTTGGAAATGTTTTAAAATATTATTGTACGTAGAAATCATATGATCATTACCTTATATATTGTCATTTCTCCTAATTTTCTCTTCGAACAATTCACATGGTTATAACTTGAACACTTAGATAAACCGTAGCCGTTATATTGGATTGGTCATAAATGGCATATGATTGCTTGTACGTGATTTTATGCAGGGTTGAGAAATCATTACATATTTATTCTTTTAGTTGGATTTCTGAACAAAGTAGGAAACCTTCCAACTGGGCCGGCAATTAAATTTATACGATCATCATCGCGCCTTTGAAAAGTTATAGTAGTATAGTTTTAGGAGATAATATAAAATATATTTATTAATTAAGACGTATTGTTTGTTATAGACTTATAGTATAGTTTAAAGGTCTAGTGGTTAATTCGCTAAAACACCAAGAGTTTTTTTTTATATCATATACGTATTTTGTAGATTCATGGAACGATTGAATTTCGTACGTATAGCATGTGTTTGTAAGCTAGATTTCTTATACAGTATATATAGACAATTAAAAAAAAAAATCAAAGTTTTATGTGGGTAAGTCTTCAATTCTTTTTTGAATATATCCACAGAAATTGAAACTTTGAGATTGCATAATAAATCATTTCTGGCGTTTTTTTGTAGTTTTCCATAGTCGTTCTTTGGAAATGTTCAACATAAGATATATATATTTAGATTTCTACTTTAATTTACCATTATAGTAGATTTCTATTAAGCAATCATAAGATCCATATAACAATGCAGTTTCAAAACCGGTTCATAACTAGCAGTGAAGTTTGTTGTTAAATACTTGTTTGTTGATCAGTTTTAGTGCTTTTGGATATATATTTTTTTTAACAAGGTATATTAGATTGCCTCAAACAAGCCAATATTTAGGAAAGTTGTTTACATAAGTGTTAAGATGCGGCTGTGTATGAACAGTTCGAGCCAGCTTTTCTGTTTTCACATTCGCAATTCGAGAAAATAAAGATAAAGAGAAAACGTCGAACTCTTCTTTGTCACTCTGAATCGCCTCTAGGTATGCTGCAAACGCTGGCCACTCGTGCAGAGAAGACACCATCTTCACCAGGTCGGAGCAGTCTGTCAGGAAGGCTATTTCTCTCTTGTCTTGGCCGATCATACATCTCATCGTCCAAATTAACGCTTCGACCTCTGTGTGAAGTGAGGTTAAAGCTTCTTCGAAGATTAGCAGCTCCTATATCTTGCGTGCCATCAGTAGGGCTAGAACAGAACCATTCTAACCCGAAAAAACGATCAGTCTCTTTCCAGGACCCATCTACAAAACACCGAAACCCATTCTGGATTGTCAATTCTGGAGTGAAAGTGGGTATTCCCCACTTCCGGGTCTAAAGCGTCATCCGATATTTCCACATGAGCTAACTGCCGTTTGCTCTTCATTTTCTGCTAATCTTAAAATTTCAGGTGGACTTTGATTCACATTATTAAAGACTTTATCATTTCTTGCTTTCCATAAATACCAAAGTATCTATGGAAACGTGGTTTTATTGCTTTTGGATTACAATAAGAATTTTAAAGCATAGCTAAATATTGCGTTAAAATATACTTAAAAGAAAACTGTTGTAGTTTTATATGAAACAATCTACAATGATGTCTTACGTTACGTATATGTCTTTTTACAAATATTTTGGAAATTATCACAATTTTCTACATATAAATCCATCTACTTAAATGCATAACTAGATTGGTGTACAAAAAAAAAAAATGCATAACTAGATTTTGAAAACAAAATGACCGAAAATTGATAGCATTTTTAATTAATAAAACATTTAATAAAATGTTATATAATATTTTGCAGCTATTTCTTATTAAATTCCAAAAAAAAGTTTATATTTTGTGATTTTTGTTGCACATCAAAAACTATGTACAAATAAATAAAATATAATAGTTCGTAAGTAAGTTCAAACAAAACAAAAAAAAAAGTTCGTAAGTAAACAGATCCAATAAATACAAAACCATAATTTTCGGATTTCACATAAAAGAAAGTCAAATTTTAACCCCAAACGTAGAAAAAAGAGATCGAACCCTCAAGCACAAGGCCACAACTATTAGAAAAATGGATTGAGGACGAAACCATAAAACCAAAAATCAAGTAACTATTAAGCATATTTGTTGGATTCAAAATCATGTAGTTATAGTTGCATCCTTTGACGTTTCTAACTTTCTCTCCAACATCCCCACGCAAACTCCGTTGACGCTATCACACGATTTCTCATATTACCACATTTATTACTATACGGCATGCCTAAACTACATAAGATATTTAAAATATTAAAAATTGGAGGAAATTTTATTTAAAAGTGTAAGAAAAAAAAAAAAAATCGGAGCCGCAATATAACTTACGAAACCCTTATTTGATATTTCTCAATTTAGACCATTGATGACTAAGTCGCAAGTGGGGTGCGTGTGCCTGCTTTTTCTTTTTGCTTGTGGGAATCTCTCATCTATATATTTTTCCCTAAATTTCATTCTTTTCTTACTGTAAAAATAGATAAAGGTAACAATATAGGAGGGTAAGCAATATATTTTGACTTCTATCATCTTTTTGAGATTCAATATTTTCAGTTTTTCAAATTTAACCCCAAATTACCTATTTTACAGAATCATTTGAGGAAAACGGAAATGGTTGGCGATTAGATAATTAGATTGAGTCTCTGAGACTCAATCACTAGAGACTTTTTTATTCTCTGTGTAAAATATATTAGAAAATGTTTTTAAATCAATCATTCGAATAGATTTAGATGACTATTTTGAGAATAAAATAGGTCGTTGAATATATTGGAGGGTATTTTTGTCATTTAGGAAAGGGACCATTCATTGAATGTGATTAGAAAATTTGAGACAAAGAAGATTTGGGAAATCGGGGAGAGAAGGAGATCGTATATAGAGATTGGTTTGGTTGCATTGCATTTTGTGTCTCACTGAGACTTTAATCCGACGTGTGAGGCTGTTGTTTTGGAAGCATGTAGGACCCTTCCCTCTTTTATTCCCTTCATCCACTTCTGTCATATATTAACCAAAATGCCCCTCATCATGCAACAATGTAAAGAAAACATATGTAAGTAAATATTAGTATCGGGTTTGATCGATGATTTTTTACTGCAGCAGTAATGAGTATACTCTTTAAACTGATATCAATCAAATGAGTAGAAGTGATAGTAAGATATTCTACGTTTTGCCCTAAAATCTATTATAAATACTTTGTTGGATCTCAGCATCAACAACGTATAAATATTGGACAGACTGTTTGTAATTGAAAAGTTAATATCCATCGTAATTACTACTGAATCGTAAAATTAAAACTAACTTTTGATAGTATTGTTTCAGATGAAAATATCAGGTCTAAAACTAAAATAAAGAGATTATATCGCAAAATAAACCAAGAACAACATCATGTAGAGGTAAAATGATATATACACCTTATTCTTGTGAATCTCATTATCATATTGGATCGTAGAACATGACGGGTAGTACAAGACTATAAATGTTATAGTATTCAAGTAAAACTAAAAGAGTGGAAGTTATCGTTTTATTTAATAACAGCAGCGACGAAGATATCCTTAATAACCATGATATACTATTTAAATGTAAATATGTTTTGTTAATCCTTGGTTTCAATATAGAGGTAACTTGTAGTGTCGATATATAGTGAATATTATTATACCGACAATAACGTCACGCCTTTTGTTATTTTAAAGATAACATATATTTGGACGAAATCGATCATTTATTTATTTTTATTTTTTAGTAATAAAGAAAATTTCATGTGATCTATACAAACAGGAGGGTTGACAACGGGATTGGAGGAACTTACAGCACACTGTCATCTTCACGGACCCCTTGACATTGATTTTTATTTTATTTTTTTATCTCATATTTACATGAATTAGTTTTAATAATTAAACTGCTTAATTTATATATAAGTTATTTTGGTTGCCGGTTCTTGATTTTCTATCTCACATACTATGTACATATATATATATGGATATTGTTGTCTCACTGGTCTGTGTGTATGCAGAGAGCATGGTCCATACACAATTAATTATCAAGCTGGTGATTGAATTTATATACATAAGATATATTTTGTTCTTTCAATTGTATGGAAATCATTGACTTGCTTTGGATATTTCAGATGGGTTATCAAATTACTCAGAGTTCTATAATTTCTTCTTTTGGTGGTGGTTTGAGTTGTCAATATTAATTATAATAAGATTGATAAGTCTTGCCTTAGCCAAGGGGCATATGCCTATTCAATTATATAAAGTAAAACTCTTTTAAGACTATAAAATATACTGATGAATTTGAAATATTGATAAAATAAGCTCACCCGCTCCAGAAAATGGAATCACGAAACCAAGTGATTCATAATCATTTGCAGTGGCGGAGCTAGAACAAATTTTTATTGGGGTCAAAATTATAAAAACAAAAATAAACACTAAAAATATATTTCGTAAGCGACTATTTTTATAATTAAAAGCCTAAATTTACAAAGATTTACATGGTTTGAATGACTGTTTTTTATGAGTTTGAGTTCAATTTAGAAAAATCAAGTATATTTTAGCTAGAGAATATAGGTTTTGAGTTTTGTTTTTAAGTAAAGCTTATGTTTAAGTTAGATTTAAAGGGGTCAGAGTAAAATTTTCAATGGGGTCAATCTTACAATTTTTCAAAAAACATTAAAGGTATTTAAATTTTGTTGGGGTCAGTTGACCCCCCTCCATTGCACATGCCTCCGCCCCTGATCATTTGCTATCTTTTTTATATAAATAATAATTATTCAAAAAAAACATATAAGTGTATTCGATAGATGGATTATATATAAGGAAAAGGAAAGATAGTTGCGTTACTTAGTGAAGAACACTAACCACAAATTCCAATCCCCACAACACGAGGGGGAAAGCACTTAGAGGGATAATGGAGCAGATATATATGATATATTGCGTGCCCATTGGCCATTTCACATGATTCACTCTCCTTATCCGTCCTTATAACTGTATATATGCATTGTTTTCTACAATGTAACGTATTGAATACTTGAACATTGTAGTAGAAAACATTGTCGTGGTTCGAGAAGCCTTGTCAAAACTAGAGTCTAGAGGCATACAATTCTTTTTTCCCTCTCCCTCATATAATAAGCACGACTCGAATCCCCAAATTCATGTTTCACTATCATTTTCACATATTACTGACATACTTTCTCCGTTCTTTTATCAGTGATGTTTTAAGCTTCTAATTTTGTTTTTAAATAGATGATATTTTCAATTTTCAATACAAAATTAATTACTTGTTTATTGGTTTTGACGATTTATATTCTGTTGATAATTTTTTATTGGTTGATTAGATAATAAATGATGTTTTAGTTTAGAAATAAACAAAAACTAAATAATTTTTTAGTCTATATGCATTTTTCTAAAATATCATTTATAAAAGAACGGAGGGAGTATATTCATAAAAAAAAAGGAAAAAAGATGGCTGGCTACACGAAGTATCCGCGAAGACAAGGCCACACATGCAAAGTTTAAAAATGTATCTCTAATTACACAAACTATATGTATCGCATGCCCACATATACGAACTATATGTAGTCAAGTTGCCAACATCATAAACATTTTTTTCCGATACATTTTTCGCCGGAATCCGGTATTGACCAGTTTGACCGGCGTTGACCAACATAAATATTCAAAAAAAAATTTTTTTTAGTTTTTTAATATTTAGAAAATTATGTTATTGAATCATTTATAATATTATATAATTAAAAAAATATATACGATATTCAATATAAAAATATTTTGTATTATATTCAATGCATTGATTTTTATAATTAGTTAGTTTTGATAATTCAAAACTAAACT